ACTTTAAAATAGTCTGCCTGAACTTGAGGCTTCCAGAATGTGTCAGTGCCTCAGAATTTCTAGCTGATGTGGCTATAGTAGTGGGTAAGGAGGAATTTTTATAAGCATCTGTCAGTGGAATTAACAGAAATATGTATGATAGAAGTAGAACCTGAAAGATGACTTTGGCATTTGAATTGCTGTATGAAATAAAGCTGTGTCCAAATTTGAAAGTGAAAAGATGCTGATGTTACACCTGTAGGCATCTCCTTAATTTAGATGCAGGTTTCTGTAGGATCTCTGGGATGCAGACAGTTGTGACATGCCTATCTGCATGTGCCCTGAATCACTTTTTTCATTTTATCAGTTAATATTAAAATCTACATTATAGTAAGGAAGATTGTGTAATTAATGTTTAACTCTCAGTACAGTATTGACAACGTTGGTAATACTATTAATATTGAAGAGTCTTTGTTTTAAGAATTAACAGTAATATTAAATACAGCATACTCTTATTCCTGAGAGAGGTACTTTTTTAAGAGTTCAGATTAATGCTTTTGAAGGCAGGGGGTGAAACAGCATTTAGTATTTAGGGCCCATTCTTCCCTACTATAGTTGTAAAAATATAACATAAGTGGCAACTCAAAATCTGCTCCTTCCTAACAGACAAATTGATTGGCTGGTGTGGGTCTTCCGGGCTGTGTGGCCGTGTTCTTGAAGTTTTGTTTCCTAACGTTTCGCCAGCACCTGTGACTGGCATCTTCAGAGTGCAGGAGCACAGACAGGAGCAGTTCTCTCTGTTTGATTGATTATTTGTCTTCTTACTGCTTCCTGCAGTCATGTATGGTTTCTGACTTTCAGTGTGATTTCTATAAGAGACCTGTAAGAGATGTGCAGTGCTTTAAACCAAGTGCTTTGGATCACCTGTCTGCATCTCTTTAAAGCCATTGTTGTGCAATGGGGAAGGATGTGGCTGTTTTCAAGAGTTGCAGACAGAGGCTATGTTCACACCCTTTGTGCTCCAAAGCACCTTCTTGGAATTGAATCTGAAGCCATGAACTCTATATTCTTAATTTTGTCTCCGCCTTAGGAAGAAGCAATGGCAGACTGCTTCCAAAAATGTTGCCCAAGAACTGCAGGCTTATTTTTATATAGACGAAGAAGCAATGGCAGACTGCTTCCAAAAATGTTGCCCAAGAACTGCAGGCTTATTTTTATATAGACGAAGAAGCAATGGCAGACTGCTTCCAAAAATGTTGCCCAAGAACTGCAGGCTTATTTTTATATAGACGAAGAAGCAATGGCAGACTGCTTCCAAAAATGTTGCCCAAGAACTGCAGGCTTATTTTTATATAGACGAAGAAGCAATGGCAGACTGCTTCCAAAAATGTTGCCCAAGAACTGCAGGCTTATTTTTATATAGACGAAGAAGCAATGGCAGACTGCTTCCAAAAATGTTGCCCAAGAACTGCAGGCTTATTTTTATAT